CCCCCCCCAAGGACTTAACCCAGCTAGGAATTTGTGTTTATTTGGATATGGGTGAATGTGGCTGGCATTTTCCCCAATTTCCCTTTCCTTAGTCTCACCCAGAAGTAGAAGGTTGTGGAAATATTTGGGACCCTAAACAGAATTTTACACAGAAAACTTTTTCATGTGTAAAGAAAAAAGAAAAAAAAAGAAAACTAAGTTGAAAGGGAGGTGGGACTCTAAACAGCATTTAAGTAGAAATCACCTGAGGGGACAGTAAGACACTTGACAGCCTATTAGCTCTAAGACCAAGAAACAATGAACCGCAGGGGAAGGCTACAGTGAGTGTTGGCGGGAGCTGAGGAGCTTTGTCTGCACTGACAAAGCGATAAGAATGTAATGGGATTAAGAGATGGGGTGGAAGCAAAATCCCTCCCCTCCCCTGTTGATTAGGCCAGGGGGAGGGAGACCCTGTTTGCCTTACTCCTCCTCTTGGAAAAAAGAGCCAAATTGCTGTCTGCACACGTCCCCCTGGATGGGGGTGTGAGGGCAGCTTTCCCGAGGCTCTCATGGCTCTCTCAGGGCAGGCGGGACTCTCGTAGGAACCATGGCCAGGGTGTCTCCAACCGTTCCAGTGCCTGTAGAACGAAATCTCTTCACTCCCGGAGCCACTGTTCTATCTTTGGAAATTCTCTTTCAGTAGGAGGATAGGTTGAAGGAAGAGGTTTTTCGTTTGGCTGTTTAAAATGTTGGATGTTTTTCAACACATTTTGATAATAATTCATATTTCTGGAGCACTGACTGTGTGCCAGTCACTGTGCTAAATACTTTATGAGTATTTTTCTAATATAGCGCAGTCAGAAGTATGTGCTAATATTGGCCCGTTATAGGAGTGAGGTATCTGAGGCTCATAGCATTTAGGTAATTTGCCTAAGATCACCTGGCCTGGAAATGGTAGAGCAGAGCCGCCAAAGCAGGCAGGTTGACGGGAGTCCACAGGATTGATGTGACACCCTAGCCACACCCTTCTGCTGTTTACAGGGCTGTCATAAGGAAGACAGGACTCCAGCCCTCCAGTAACTTCTAACCTATCCATAGAGAAATGGCTAAAATACGAGGCAGGATGGTGGCTCCCCTGTAGGATGAATGAAATATATTGGGGACAACCAAAGAGCTTACAAGGTTCCTATTAAATGATTACTTTTCCCTTAATAAAAGGGGCAGGACATAGGTTACACACCTTATGTTTATCTGTCAGGAATATGACAGAATGAGAGCCAGAACTTCAAATCTGCAAGCCTGGAGTCCAATCCCCATCGCTTCACTGACTAGGCCCATGATTGAGTCACTTCAGCTCTCATCAACTATAAGAATATTTAGCACTTAGGTGTGAGTTTGCTGTTGCTGCATAACAAATCACAGAACTTAGTTTTTTTAAACAATTATCTCATGGGTTCTGTGGGTCAGCCATTCAGAATGGGCCCCGGATGATGGCTTCTGTGTTCTGTGATGTTTGGGGCTTCAGCTGGAAGACTCAAAGGCGTGACTGGAGCTGGAGGGCCGCTTCTGACGTGGCCTAGTCACATGGCTGGTTCCTCCCCACGTGGGCATCACCGTAGGGCTGCTTGAGTGTCCGCTTGACATGGCCCTGGCTTCCCCTGGAACAAGTGACTCAAGAGGTCGTGCTGGAAGTGATGATGCCTTTTGTGATCTAATCTTAGAAGTCACCGACATTTACTTCAGGAATTTGTATTGTCACATGCACTAGCTCTGGTTCAGTGAACCAGGGGGGCTGCACAAGGACACGTACACTGGGAGGCAGGGGTGGTTAGGAAGCCGGTTACTACAATTAAAATACTACACAAGAAGCCTTTAGCACAGTGCCTGACAGAAAACCCTCAGTAAATCATCATTTTATTATTATTCTGACTTCTTAATTACAATACACGTTATTTCCTTTTTATCTCTTCTGTGGGATCACATGTCCGTGGGCATTTTTTAGAGCACCCTGGTGACACAGTGGCAGCAAGGTGCTGAGTTCCCCCTCCTTCATTCCCCTGAGCCCTGGGCCCTGCTGCCGAGGTTTTGAAGGCTGCTTGACGAGTCTCCATAGGGTCCTCCCTTCAGCCTGTTAGCCTGGTCCTGGTCCTGTCATTCTCTATTTATCACAGGAGAATGGAGATTAAAGAATGGCATGAAGTGTGCCTGAGTGTCTCTTTTAATTACTTTAAAACCTTTGCCCCTGCCCCTCCTCCCCTTGGAGACTGGTGTGTGAAACCGTTATATCTAGCCTTAGGCTCGAGCAGTAGACTTAGGGAAATATGCTTTTACAGGAGTTGGTTATGGAGATGATGGCTACACGCCTCCGTCCTGAAACCCTGTGCTCAGGCCTCCAGGCTTCGGGAGGGCCCAATAATAGAGCTCACTTCTTGTTGCTTCAACAAACTTCTGCATCTACCCATTGTCCAGCATGGCAGCCAGCACTGAAGATTTAGGAAAACATGATTCGTGCTTCCTAAGATCAGTAAAGCAGGAGAGGTACATATATAAGGCCAATGTAAGTTTGCTGGGCAAACGATCCCTCCTATAAGTTTTTGAGAGATCATGTGCATGCTACTAGCCCCTTGTTCCTTGGGCTCTGGGCTGTAATTTTTCCTTGCAGGTTTGCTTCTAACATTAAAATATCCTGAGTAGCTTTTATAAAATATCCAAGCTTGAGCGTCACTGTCAGATTCTTTGTTTTGCTATAGAGTAGGGCTCAGGCAGCGGGATTTCTTCAGAACTCCTGGGTGATTCTTATGTGCAGCCAGGAACCTTGTGTAATTGAGTGCCTGAGTCTGGACGTGGTAAATGCTCAATACCTGCTATTTGAATAGATAGATTAGTGAACTGGAATAAAAGCAAGCCTGTGATAATCTCCATAGAAGAGAAAATAACGCTCATATTTATTGAGTGCTTAGTATGTGTCAAGCATTTTGCTAAACTTTTAATGGTATTGTCTCAGTTTTCCAGTGAATTAGGAACTGTTCATTTTACAGATGAGGAAATTAAAGCATAGACAAATTAAATAACTCGGTCAAAGTAACAGCATTTAGCAGGGGAGGATCCTACTATTCAAACCCAGTCACCCTGACTCCAAAGTCTAGACTTCCAACTTAGACATCGCTGCTTCTCCAACTAGCAGGCATCAGAATCATCTGGAAGGATTACTGACCGCCTCTCTCATGTTCCCCCAGCAGAGATCTGGGAATTTGCATTTTTAACAAGTTTCCAGTTGATGCTGATGCCGGGATCGAATGTGCGCTACCGCATATTAAACATGAGGTTTTTGTGAGCACAGCTGGCTTCCATCTTCCCAGTATCAGCTGGGGGAAGAAGGGCTTTTAAATTTATGGGACATTTTAAAGCACACTTGGTCAATTTATCTTGTTTTTCTTCATCTTTATACATTTTCATTACTGACAAAATTTTCTAT